TTCTTTTATGCAGGAGAACCAGGTTCAATTTCCAGCCAATCCACCTCAGAGTGTCAGTGGAGATCTGAGTGTTGCTATGATGTTTGAGCAGAACATCCAGACTAAGAAAACTAGGGAGAAAGGCTTGGCAACCCATTTCTGAAAATCAGCCAGTGAAAACCCTATGGATCACTAATTCCATTATGCATAGGGTGGCCTTGAGTTTCCACCACAGCTAACAATAACAGTGTCTTGTTTGAGCAGGCATTGGAAAGAGCTGAGGAAATACTCTTGGCTACTTTCCTTAATAACCACGCCAGATGTGACAAATACATAGCAAGTTTCTTAACACTTAGCCCCCTCCCTCCCCTGTCCTGTCAGACATCACTAATAGATCACTGCATTCTTTCAGACAGAACCTCAGAATCCTTTTAAAAATGTTCTGGGTAAAAACCACCAATTAGTCGGAGTTAGCACATGAGATGCAATCTTACCTCTCAAAGCTGGGTTTAGGTATTTCTAAATATGAGAATGTTTCACCATTTATTTCTTCCTTAGCTCCCCATGTGATAATTGATTCAGGTCTTGGAGGCAGGAACTGGAGCTGTCTAGCAAACTAAAGCATTCTCAGCACGTGCAGAGCACGGACAAAGATGTGGCATGTGTGCGGTGACCAGGCTGAGTGGACAGCAGTGGGAATCAGAAAGTCACACAAAATAAACTTGGAATAGAAGAGAAGAGCTAGCTTAAAGTCAGCTAAGTTCTGAATGTAAGTTGGATAGCTGATATTTCCTGAAGATTAATAAGCATAGGTGATTTTCAATGGCAGATAGATGCATGATTTATAATTATAATTCCTATTTTAATGTTTTGAAATAGATTTTAGTTTTTAAAGTGGTTCTTGCTTTACCAAAATATTGTTCAGAAAACACAGAGAATTCCCACATACCCCTTTCACTCTGTTCACTCTTTTGCCTATTATTAATTTTTGGGCAATCCTACTTCTGTAGTGATACTGCCTTGGAAACCTAAGGAGGGGTAGCTGTGGGTCGGGGCCGACTCGATGGCAAATAACAACAATAACAACAATTTTGCCTATTAACATCTTGCATTGGTTTAGTGCATTTGTTACTACTGATAAACCTCCAGTGAGACATAATTATTAATTATAATTCATAGCTTACATTAGAGTTCACTCATAATGTGTACTAGTCTATACATTTTGACAAATGCATAATGTCCTATGTCCACCTATACAGAAAGAGTTCCACTGCCCTCAAAGTGTCCTGTGCTTCATCTATCCATCCCTCTTCTTTTCCCTCATCCCCTGGCAACCACAAATCTTTGTGCTGTCTCTATGCTTTTGCCTTTTCCAGAATGTTATATAGCTGGAATCATACAACTGTTTTTGACTGGCTTCTTTTGATTAGTAATATGTCCATATAGTAAAATATCACTCAACTATAAAGAGAAGTGAACTGTCAAGTATGGAGGGACACAGAGGAAACTTAAATTCATATTGCTGAATGAAAGAAGCCAGTGTGATTTTTTATTTTCATTACTGCACTTTTAAAATTTCATTTACATAAGACCTCTGAATTCACAGAACTTGCCAGTTAGAACAAAGGTAAGTTTATTTAAGTAAAATAGATTTGATTTATAAATAAACAAATAATGGATATTGATGGTAGGTAGATATGTCAAGTATAATTAAGGTGGTATTGCCATCACTGAAACTAGAGAAACAGGGTGGTAAATGACAAAGCACATCCAAAGTCAAGTAATGAGGAAATGTTGTGACAGGAATGGTGCTTTTAGCAAGTTTAATTCTGCTGACATGAGCAAAAGTCACAGACAGAAAAAGTCCATCAGCAACTAGTAAAAGTAAACATGTTCTGTCTTGATATAGTAATGAGAAAATATCTCTTATAAAGATGTTAACTTTTTGGTCATATTTGCTGAATGTAGTTTTCCAAACATGCTTAGGGTATTTTTAAATTGCTTATGTGATGTATTTAACAAATGGCAGTTTTAAATTTTCTATAATCTGATCAGCTAATTTTTTTGCTTTGTGATTTTTTTTTCTTCTGTTCTTTCTTTCTTTATTTTTAATTTCTTTATTTTTATTGTGGTTTTGGTGAAATTTTACAGAACATGCTAGTTCTCCATTCAAGAATTTATTTATGCACATTTGGTTTCATGATGTTGGTTGCAGTTTTTTCAGTGTAACAGCGTTCTTCCCATGTCCTCCCTGGATTCGCCGTTTCCATTTGTCCTTCTTGCATTCTGGCCTTTCTTTTTGGGTAAGTGGTAGCTTTTTGGTTTCATATGGTTGATTGTTCTGAGTATGTTCCTCATGGGTGTTATTCAATTTACAGGCCTACTTTTCGACTGAGAGTTAATCCCTGACAGTGGCATCAGTTCTAGATTTGAGGAGAAGGACCAAAGTCTCTATCAGACTGGTAAGTCTGGTCTTTATTTTTTTATTTTGAGTTTTGTACCACATTTTTTCTCCCACTCACTCCAGGATCTTTTATCGTGATCCCAATTAGAGCAGTTGGTAGTGGTAGCCAAGCACCATCTAGTTGTACTCTCAGGCTGTTGATGTTTCTGACTATAGAATACTAGCAAGTAGAATCAATCCATCAGTTTAAAATAGTAACACATTTTATCTCAGTTGCTTCTTTCACTTGAGCAATTTAATATAATTTAATTTCCTTTTCAGTTTTGTACTAACAATGTGTTGGGAGATGCAATCCAACTCTCAAGGCTCCAGTGACCAACTTTAGGGAAAGAATAAAAGAATCAATGATAAACATTTTCAGTAAATGGATTTAGGGACTCTTAAAAGGTAATACACTTTTTAACTTTATCTTTCATTTTGATTCCTTAGTATTCCAACCACAATCTCTGTCTGCAAGGATCTTTATCATGGTGTTTATGCATTTTTTTCTTTTTCTCCTTTTCCTCTTCATGCTGGTGGTATATATGCAGCCCATTTCTACTGTTGGTGTTAGTTGCTGTCAAGTCAATTCCAACTCATGGCAACCCCAAGTGTGCAGAGTAGAATTGCACTCTGTAGGGTTTTTAAGGCTGTGACTTTTCAGAAGCAAACTGCCAGGCTTTTCTTCCAAGGCACCTCTGGGTATGTTTGGACTACCAATATTTTGATTAGTTGTCTAGCACTTAACCATTTCCATCACTCAGGGACTCTTGCCAGTTCTCCTAGCCATGAACAACACTTTTCATTATTGAATCATTCCTGACAGTAGACAACAGTGATCAGACACATTGAACCATACAATAGAAATTTAATCTGATCTCATTTTACCCATGTGTAAGAAGCTACCACATGTGAATTGAAATTGTAACACCAAGAATTATTGGATTCCTGCATGTGTCTTTTCCTTCTCAGTCCCAGTGAATGACTAGACTACTAAGGGATTGTAAAACATGTAAGACATGGTAAGCATAAATTTGTTGACTCAGCGATTGAAATGGACATCTTGTCTTCTTGCAAGTAAAATGAAAAAAATGATAACACAAATGCTAGATTTATGTATAAGGGCAAAGTATTTAAGTATACTAACTTGAGGTTTTCCTTAATGTAGTAATGCCATATTTTCCTTTAAACTGGACTTCTAGCTTTAATTTGTGCCTAGATATAGACACAAAACAAAAAGAAAAGCATCTCTGTCAATATTACATTTTAGATGCAAAGGCTGAAGATTGGAAGAATAGAGCTGACATGATGTGATTAGTCTGTTCACTGATCTGAAGAAAAGGAATCATGTGTTTGTGGTTTGCTAAGGAAGGATATGTTGGCAGAGTGGGTAAGGCATTTGGCTGCTAACCAGAAAGTTCAAACCCACCAGCTGCCCTGTGGGAGGAGGATGAGACAATCTAGTTCTGTAAAGATTTTCAGCCTTGGAAACCCAATGGAGGTCACTATGAGTCAGAATTGATTGGATTTGGGTTTTTGGTTTTAAGGAAGGCCAGTTTTGCAGAAAATTTGAGAAACAGTGGGAGAAAGTAGAGGAAAAAGAGAGAGCGAGAAAAAAGAACAACAACAAAAACACTGGACATAGGAAAAGGATAAAAGAAACCACTGCCATCGAGTTGATTCTGGCTCATAGCAACCCCCATTGGGTTTCTAAGCTGGTAAACTATTGTTGTTGTTATGTGTTGTCGAGTCAGACCTGCTGATAGCAACCCCTCCTTGGGTTTCCAAGGCAGAATCACTATAGAAGTAGATTGCCTAACCTTCCTTCTGAGGCGTGGCTGGTCGGTTTGAACCACCAGCCTTCTGGTTAGCAGTCAGATGCTTTAGGCACTACGCTACCAGAACTCCTCAGGTAACTTACAGAAGTAGATTGTCCTATCTTCCTTCTATGGAGCAGCTGGTGGGTTTGAACCACAAACCTTCTGGTTCACATTCAAATGTTTTAGGCACTGCAACACCAGACCCCCTAAGAAAAGAATTTGTTGTTGTTATGTGCTGTCAAGTCAGACTTGACTCATAGTGACCCTTCCTTGGGCTTCCAAAGCAGTATCACTATGGAAGTAAATTGCCCAGCCTTCCTTCTGAGGAGTGGCTAATGGGTTTGAACCTCCAGCCTTCTGGTTAACAGTCAAGTGCCTTAGGCACTCTGCTACCAGAGGGTACAGAAAAAAGAAATAATGGCAACCATTAGAGTTAGTAGTGCAAATCTTGAAGATGGCGGTAATCACTATTACCACTATTTATTTTCTCACAGTTCAGGAAATTTATTGGTGGCCCCCAATAATCTATGCATACAGGAACTCACCCTTGTGTAGTCCTCTCCCCTTGGATCAGAGTTGGGCATGTGACTTACTGTAACCAACAGAATCAGGCAAGAAGTGCGGCTGTCTCAGTTCTGGGTCTAATCCTTAATGTCTAGAAGCTTCTGCTTTTGTGCTTTAAGGAGCCTTGGGCTACCATATAAAAATTGTGTTGCTTTACTGGGGAATCTATACAGAAAGACCACAGAAGAGGCTACATGAAGGGGAGAGGCCCTAAGTATACAGGGGGAGAAGGAGAAGCCCAGCCATCCCAGTGTCTCAGCCAAGCCCAGGCCCTTGTTGACCTATCAGCTGAATGGATCCACATGAGTGACCACTGGTAAGACCAAAAGAAGAATGACTGTGCCAAGCCCAGAGAATTGTGAGCAAACAGAATAGCTGTCACTGCAAGTCAGTTTGTGGCCTGAATTGTGTCCTCTAAAATATGTAAAGTCTTAGCTCTTGTATGTGTTGTTTAGAAATAGGCTTTTTGTTTTATTAGGTTACCCTCCAGAGTAGGGTGGGTCTTATACCTAATTACTTCTGAATTATGAAAAGATGAGAATAGACAGAGATACACACAAGGAAAAGGGGCCATAGGAGGACAGACACCTAAGGTAGCTGTATCTACAAGCCCAGAAACTCCAAGTGTTGCTAGCTCCTAGTAGCTGAAATAGACAAAGTATCTCTCCCTGGGGTCGTACTCTGGTTTTGGAGTTCTAGCTTCCTGAACTGTGAGAAAATAAATTTCTGTTCTTTGTCGTATTTTTTGTTACAGCAGCACTAGGTAACTAAGCCAGCCACTAAGTTTTGGGTGGTTTGTTATGCAACAAAGGATAATTGCCACTATGATAGCGTAGGGGAAGAATCTTGGATCAAGACCTCACAATGACTCTACTCTCTGGGACATCATAATGTAGAGCAAAGATGGCAGGCTTCAGACTAAGCCAAATTGCTTCAAATCCTCACTTTGCCACTTTTGAGCTCTGTGAGTTTGGAAAATGGTCTTTAAACTTTCTGAGCCTCAGTCTTCTTATCTGTAAAATGAGAAAGATATATCTTTTCTCGTAGGATAGGTAGGGAATGAATGAAAGGTTTTGGTACATAGTAAGTACCCCAAAAACATGAATTTCATTCTATTTTCTCCCTGCAGTTCTCTCACCCCTTGAAGGGATAATAGTCATCTACAACACATTAGCTCAAGGGTAGGCCTGTGACTTGCTAAAGACAATTCTGTCATAGGTCAATTTTATGTATTTGATAAACAGTCCTTGAGTTTTTATGAAAAAGGTGTAACCTACTAAAAAGAACAGGTGAGTTTGTATTTATTTATTTATTTTAAATCATTGAAAGTTTGGGTACCACTTCTGATTCATGTCTATGTCCCAGACAGACTACACCTGCTTCTCTGGAGCACCCAACTGTTCATTAGAAGAAGCTTGGTTTGTCAGAAGCATTGAGATTATATTCAGCTCATTTTATTACAGAAGACATAGATTTTATTTCAGTCAGATTTTCACCAAAAAAGGATTCCAATCTTAATTTTTTTATGAAGTTTACTTAGGCAAAAATGGTACATTTCAAGGCAGCACTGAATATAATTTGGTGATTACTGAACGCTTGCCTTAGTTCAGAGGTGATTTAGGGCCCTGGAAAGAAAGAAGTCCCATAATGAGCACTTACACTTACATTGTGTTAAAACTGTGCAGGCAACCACGTTCCCAAGCTCCCTGAGAGAAAAATTTGAGGGGGAAGAAAAAAAGAAAATAAAGGATTAAGGAGAAAGGAAATAAACCTGTTGGCCTCAGTTTCCAATTTGTAAAAACAAGAAAGTCAGACTAGAAGGTTCCCCAAGGTCATTTCCACACAGATGTCTCCCTTCCTGTGGCTATGTAAGTCCTCTGTGGACAGTGAGAGTAAAAATACAGGTTACTCTCCAGCAAAACTTTAATTGGAGAGCTTTAATTAGAAAAAGAATCAAGGCGCTCTTTCAGATTATGATTTTTTAAAATTTTATTTTTGTGTTTTTATTGTTTCCATTTTATTTTAAAGTACAAACAAAAGCCTCAGTTTGCCAAATGGCTATACATGTTCCTTTGTCATACAAGTGCCTTAGCAAGTTAACCTAAATCATTTTCTAAAATGAATTTTTAATAAGAACCTTAGTTTCCTGAAATTTATCTTGAACATTTTTTTTTTTTCGCCTTCAAACCTCTTAAAGGACTCTGGAGTTTCCGTACCTCAGTGCCAAGAGCTTGGCAAAGGAATCCAGCTCAGCTTAGTAATTACCTCATGTTAGTCTAGCTCAAGTTGTTTTTCTCCTAATGGTTTAGGAAAGCAGTTTGAATGCTTTGATTCTAGTAATAAAAGTTCCAATGGGAGAGGATGGGTGAATGCCCATGTAATGTTTACTTTATTAAAATGGCCACATCCAAAGCTGTTGCAGAATAAATTCTTACCAGGGACTCTGAATAAGAGAAGGCCAACTTGGAGGAAAGCTTGAAAAAATAGGGGAGCTAAAGTAAAATCCAGGAGAGTCCTTTTGCTCTCCAAATGAGGTCCCACAATTAGATTTGTTTCTGTCACCCAGCGTCCCTGGGTGGTGCAAATGTGCTTGGCTGCTAAGTAAAAGGTTGAACGTTCAAGTCTGTTCACAGGCAACTCAGAAGAAAGGCCTGAGGATCTACTTAGCCACTGAAAGTCCTGCAGTTTTGCTTTGACACACATGAGGTCACCATGAGTTGGAATGAACTCAGTGGCAACTGGTTTTGGTTATCTACTCCCCTCTCCACGGCAAGGACAGGACCTCCACCACGTGCCTCCAGTGATTCTGACTCCAACTCCAGGCTTCAAGTGGAGCACATACATCAGACCAGTTTTTCAATCCATCTGTGGTGAAAGATTAATATTTCTTTTTTTCCCCTCAATCCACTGAGGATTGATACTCGTATAAAATACAGTAAAAATGGATTACTAGAAAAATAAAAAAAACAGAGATATATTACATGTAAGGCTCGTTTTTTTAATTATTTGAATAAATTACTCTGTCAAATTGCAGTAACCATCTAGCCACCTTCAATTTCAATAGTTAGTTTGTCATGGACAGATAACAAATAGTACATGGGCAAGTATTAATCCTTGGATCACACTTTAAATAGCACTGACTCAGCCTAAGCCAATCATATTCTCTTTTCAAAAAAAAAAAGTTGCCATGGAGTAAAATCTGATTTATGGCAACTCCAAGCGTGTCACAATAGAACTGTGATCTGTAAGGTTTTCTTTTCTTTCTTCTCTTTTTTTTCTTAAGCTTTTTATTGTGGGTTGGGTGAAAGTTTACAGAGCAAATTAGTTTTCCACCTCTGGGTAGCTTTTGAACCACCAACCTTTAAGCTAGTAGTTGAGTTCTTAACCATTTGTGTCACCCAGAGAATGGATCAATACGGGAAAAGCAGAGCCGAGGGATGGTGGGTGATAAACTGGACTACTTCTGTATTGTGAGGAAATATAAACCAATACATTTAAAAGTTTGCTTAAGCCAGATGTATTCCTATTATCTGCAAGACAAAGAGTCCTACTCAACAGTCATTAAGTTGTATAACTCTCCATGAGCTCTTAAGCCACTCCTCTTTTGCCAGTTATCTTTCCCAAACACAGTCCTGGGTATGCTGTTCTTCTGATTATGAAAACACTGTCTTCCTACTATTCTCAGAACCAAATTCGAGCTCTTTACACTGTCATTCAAAACCTTTCACATTTGAGTCCTGTTCTTCATTTTCAGCCTATTTCTCTGCTATTCTCATCCTCAGACCTATACCCTAAGTTTTAGCGTGACAGACATATACTTTTATGTAAGGTATAAGTTTGCTCATGTTCACTTGGCCTAGATTGCAATTTCCATTTTCACAGCCTTTTCTGCTTTATCAAGAATAGAATCTTAAGAACATAAGGTATTCACTGTTCCTAAATGTTAAGCATTATACATCACCATCATTCCTGCTGACTCAAGGGCTAATTTTGAAGCTCTTGGCAGGAGAGAAAATTGAAGTACCCAGACACTTGATAAGTGCATGAGACAAAGATCTCATTTAATAGGGCTTCTAACATATTTGTATTATAAAAATCTCAGAAAGCTACTAGCTTGGACAATGCATATAGCTTTAAGTTATTGCAAAAATGAGCAAGAAATAAAAACGTATGTCCACATAAAAACTTGTACATGACTGTTCACAGCAGTTATCATTCATACAGTCAAAAAGGAGAAAGAACGTAAATGTCCATTAACTGAGGAATGGATAAATAAAATGTGTGGAGCCATATAACAGATATATATCTAGCAATTAAAAGAAATAAAGTACCAACACACCTAAAACATTAAATAAACTTGAAAATATTATACTAAGTGAAAAAACTCCAGACACAAAAGACCATTTGTGGTTTCATTTGTAAGAAATGTCCAGAATATGTCCCCTGAGATTTGAGGAAAATATGAGGATTGGAGTTTGATGGCTAAGAGGACTGAGATTTCTTTTTTTTTTTTTTTTTGAGTGATGAAAGTATTCTAAAATTTCTTGTAGTGATGGATGCACAACTGTGAATATACTAAAGGCCACTGAATTGTGCAATTTAAGTGGACAGGCTGTATGGTATGTGACTTACATCTCAATATAAAAATCCATTGCTGTCAAGTTGATTCTGCCTCATAGTGACCATATAGGACAGAATAGAACTATCCTATAGGGTTTCCAAAGCTGTAATCTTTTTGGAAGCAGACTGCCTCATCTTTCTCCTGCAGAGCAGCTTGTGGGTTCCAAAGGCCAGCCTTTCATTTAACAGCAGCCAAGTGCTTAACCACTGTACCACCAGGGCTCCTTACACCTCAATATAGCCATACATATTATATGTGTGTGTATGTATGTGTGTGTGTGTGTGTGTGTGTGTATATATATATATATATATATA